ATTGTAGTGGCCATTGTACAGATGAGGTTCCTGCCAACCTTGGAATCTGATTGGTGTCGGCGCGCAACAGGTCTGCTTCAATGATGCTCCAGTGTTCATCAGAAAGGAGCACTCAAATCTCAGGAGCTAGCGATTATGTACTGCTTTATGCCACAGAAGCACTCGCAACTGTACGTTTATCCACCAGCGAATACACATCACGAAACGTCTCATCCAAGACTCTGGAAGCCGTAAGGATTCATCTGTATGCGGCGCTTTCCAACCAGGGTATTTTTTGTAAACTGCTTGACACGCAACATGCGTGTGCTGCCAGCATGTACATTATACCAGTTGGGGATATCTGCTGTAGCCTTAGCAGCATTAGGCCTCAAACAGACTAGTGATGCTGGCCTTCAAGTCCTGTAGAAAATGAGTAGCAACGGAACAACATGACAAAGGCAGCAGCTTGTGGGATCAGTCTATCAAAGCTATGTTTGAAACCATGGAACACGAGACTAACTTCTCACACGACCTCCGGTGAGTCAGATTAATAAACGCACAGCAAGACAGATACAGTAGTAGAGGCTTTACCAACACCGTCTTTCATGGCCTTTGCGCCGCTCACCCTGATACGGCGCGAACCTCAGCGTACTTGCATTCGTGCTGCCGTTCAGCNNGCCGTTCAGCTCAATTGCGAACAGAATCCCTAGGCAAGGAGAAACTCCAAAAGAAATCCCCAACCCGAAGGTAGCATAACACTCTCAAGTGCTTTCGTGGAAAGGAAGCATCATAAATGTCGCATTTCGCAAGATATTTGCCCAGTTCGCCTGCATATGCATCAGCGAGTTCGACCTTAATTCGCTGCTCAAGCACAACGGTTTGCTCTTCAGTGTGGGTGCGCCGTTTATTGTGGAATCGCCCCTCCACCTGTTTTCTCTGCAACAGACGATGTACATAATACAAGATTGTAGGCGCTTGAAGGGAGAGCAGAAGGAGCATACAGGAGCATGGGGGTCATCCCCTCTTATTCCAGCTCTGGGTGCTCTAATACAACACTGCTCGATTGGGCTAAATGCACTGCTATGCACATTTAAACCACCTTGCCTCCTATATTGCGAATTGTAGGTTGTACTGGCACCTTCTTCTACACTTGGCTCTCCCGTCACTATCTTTGTAATGCGCCGCAGCAAACGTTGCTGCAAGGCGCCTTAAAACTCACCTCAGGCTGGTTCATCTCGCACAAACCGCATATCCTTTGCCCGGTCTGCCTTGAGACTGAGGAGGATGTCAGCTGGAACAATTTTGTGCTTTTGACACTATCGCAGCTCACCAGCTTCCTCGGATAAAGAGGGGGGCATCTCGTTACACGCTGCAGCTCATAGCAGGCTGTCTCCTCTCCGCACCAGCCCCATGCCCTCGTNGCACCAGCCCCATGCCCTCGTGCTGGTGCACCCAGGGCACCTCGAGACTGGTAGGCTTGTCAGCTGCTGAGACTGGTGGGCTTGTCTGCTGCTCTTTGGGAACAGGTTTCCCCAGTGCTTTGACTCAGTTCCATCTCACGAGCGTCCGCAGACTAGCTCAAGGACTCGTTACACTAAACGGAAGGCTGTCTGGCAGTGGGCTCCCCTATCCCTATTAGTCATAATGCGCTACCAAGTGTAATGAGGGTTGTCGGCCGTAGCCGAGGATAGCGCGAGCTGTAGCAAGGTCATTATCTTCCGAAGAGCAGTATTTGAGGTGTCCTGATAATTGTGTCACAAACATGTCGGGCTGATACTACTAGGAAGAGTCAGTGGGCACTGATGAGCTGTCGCTATTTCCTGTTATACCCTGGCTGCACAGCAACTGCAGTGCGCGAACACTATAATGTATTAACTGTGTTGTATTCTTTAGTGTAAACATAAAGCTTGCTCTCTGGCCTAGATCACGGACAGAAACGAGCTGCAATGTAGTAAAGACTTAAAGAAAGAGCTTCCCAGGACCATCTGACCTGCTTCCCCTCCCCTCAGGCATCCTGGGCGTTGAGCTCAGTGCCTGGGTGTTGCGAGGAGGAGGCACCAACAAATGGTGTTGCAGCGCATCGCGCAGCGGTTGGCAATACGAGCGAGCCTCACGCGTGCACACAAGTAAGCTTGAGCGGAGCTTCCTTTGCTGTATGATTTAAGTCTGAATACCTTATATAACGGTTGTGTCTGCTTACACGCAACCTACCAAGGCCAAGTGAAGGCTCCTGTGCTAACTGCAGGCAGACCATGCTACAGTAAAAATCGAATGCTTTATTCACAATCCACGCCCTGAGATTATCCGACAGAAGTGTAACAGAATAGCGCTTATAACATGTCAACACACAGCACTTTCAGCGGCAACCACTAGCATAGTGAATGCATACCACAACCAGAAACACCGACACCTAGGGGACAGGAGACCGACACCGGCCAGACCGACCCCGGTGTCCCCTCACCCTTCCCACAGGTCTTGCCTCCAGCAAAAAGCACGAGCTTACCTTCTCATATTTTTCAACGTTTGTTTCGTCTATTCCTTATTGATTATACTCTTTGTCTATGCAGTTGCTTCGGTTCATTTGTCTGACTTCGTAGCGAGCAGCTTACAGCCAGTACTAGCGATACGTTTAGTCAACAGGATAATTCCCTCTTAATTTGTTCTTCTTACGAGGAATTTGAGAATACTTATTGTGATATTTACTTCAGTTGGATTTTATTTATATAAGCCTATAGTGCTTTCTTCCAGAAACGTCGAGGCACCCTGCAGAACTCCAGGCAATTTTACAGCAACCCCACATGAAAGAATACTTAAGTCCTCTTTCAATTCATGCATCAACACTGCTGGTAACTATTATAGCTGCATTCGTCCTCAGCAAACTGTACGCATGTCAAATAACTACAGTACCAACTTCAAGAAGGTTTTGGGCCGAGGGGCGGAGTTGCGGTCGCGTCTGTACTCAAGGTGCGGTCCCGTCTGTCCTACACCGTCCGTAGAACCGGTTGCTGCACCGTCCTCCGCTATTTGCCTCCACTGCTCAACAAGGAACTAATTTCACTGTTTCATAGCAAATTCAAACGAAACAATTTGAAGGAGACGGCTTTTTCGAGGTCTGCAAGTTTGTGTTCCCTGGTGTTGTTGGTGTCCCTTGCGCTCTCTCGCCGGGCTGGTCAATTGAGGCTCTGGGGGGCCTTCGGCTCTCCTTCACCTTCTTCCCTTCCTCCTTTGTAATGACTTAAATTACATACATTGATTCTGGTTTAACATTAAGCTTCTATGCAGCTGATTTTTTTCGCCCCCGAGAACGGCTTCAAGCCTCATTGCAGTTGCTGGAGCCTCTGTACAGACTAAAGGTCCATGCCACTGCTTATAGAAATATACATGTTTAGTTTGAATTGACAGCTGTGGCTTTACTGCTGCTGCAAATCCTGGTGCAGGGGTTGTCACCCTCGCTTGTTTGTTGCGGGAGTTGCTGCTGCAAGCAATAGCAAATCTGTCTCCTCTTGCAGGTTCTGTGGCGCACACTCTTCTGTTAAACAACGAAAGGGAATGAAAAGAACAGACGAGTATGTTGCATTCACTATAGTGCCTCTGTTGGTCTATCTCTTCTCTTTCTCTCTTACCGCGCCGCTGTTTCATCCGCTCACTAGTGGCTGCTTCCTTCAAGTCCGAGATTGTTTGATTACGAGTTTGACCCCCTAGCAGCCCATATTTTAATTCATTTCTTTTGCATATTCTGCATCTTCCTTGCTCTTCACCGTATCCCGTTGTGCCATGAAACAATGGTGCCCCTTTGCTGAGGAACCTCTTCCTGCCTTCCCGTCCCCCATCTTCCCGAGCCCCCCACTCCTCCCTTTCCAGCAGTAGCGGCAGAAAAGGCCGCATTAGCAGCTGCAGGAGCACCGGAAAAGCCACCGTCGCCCCCGCAGCAGCAGCAGCAAAGCCTGCAGCTGGAGCAACAGTTCTTGAAGCGGGTGTACGCGTAGGCATGTGTTTGCCTGCCGTCGGTTCTTTGTGAGTCATTGCTTTTCCCCAGTTATTTCTTACGCCACACAGGCATCCGATGAATAATGTGTTTGCTCTTTTCCGGCTGCTCGGGAGGCCTACGGGTATCTGGCTAAGCACACGGGTCTTTCTGTTGCTGCTGGTGCTGGCGCTGCTAGGACTGCAAGCGTAACCAGTAGTTTTGTTGAGGGTATGGAGCCCTCTATAGCTTCTGTATCCGTTGATAGAAGTCCCGAGAGGACGCCAAACACCTTCTATGTACACTTAAGCGGGGGAGCGACGGCGAAAGGCTACAGCTCGGGCCCTACAACTGAACAGGAAATGCCAGTTCGCAGTTATAACAGCAAACGTGAACTTCATTGGGACTACGAGAGGCCACCAGGAGGGCGCAGGCGGTCCCTACGTGGTATTGCTGGAGTGGCTGCTGCTGCTGCTGCTGTTGCTTTGCTGAGTGTTGTGTTTCTGCTGCTGTCTTGCGGAGTCTCCATTTCCCACACCGCCAAGGCCACCCAAGCTTGGGGCGGCGGGAGGCAGCTCGCGTCCAGCGAGGATGAAGTGCTATGTACCAAAACTGCAACAGCAGCGCGGGAAGCAGCAGCGTCAGGTGGAGGAGCGGGAGAAGTAACAGATGGAGAAGGTGCAGGAGAAGCAGCAGCAGAAGCAGCAGCAGGAGAGGCAGCAGCAGATGGCACAGAAGAATCTTCCTCGCGTAATCCAGCGGCCCCTACTTTTTCTCCTAGAGGCCCCATTTATGCAGGTGAAGGCGCTACTGAAGCGTACACAGCAGCAGGGGGAAACCATGAGTCCTCTGTTTCTCGTTCGGAGGGGAATGCATCTCCAGACAACCCTGAGACAGGGCGCGAAGAAGCTGCAGCAGCAGGAAGTGCAGCAGCGGAAGAAGCTCTCGGAACCGGAGCAGCAGGAGTCGTTTCAGTAGGTGAACACCGAAAGGCAGTGCCTCTGCTGTGGCCAGCAGGAGTGCACAAAGCGATTGCGCTTTCCCCTTTTCTGGGTCTTTTTCTGACTCGCCTTCGCGAGCTTGCAGTTCACTGCAGGGATTACTTTAACCAACTTCCTCCGCATCATGCTCGCCTTGTAGGGGAGGAGCTGTTGCGGTATGCTGTCATAGAGCTTGCTGCATTAAGGCCTTTTTGCACACTTGAACAAGAGAGGCAGAGGGGGCAGGTAGTCAAAGCGTTCATCCGCCTTGCTAGGAGTTTGGGGGCCCGTGCTAAGGTACGTCCGGCGGCGGCTACAACATTGGATAGTCTGCTGACTGCGCTGAATCTGTTGAAAGAGAGTGGACCCCTTCCCGTCGTTTGGGTGCAAAACAGAGAACATGCAGCTGAACACATCCTTCGTCCAGCAGGAGCCGCTCTGCGGCATATGGGTACTGCTGTCAATAGCCTGCTGGAGAGCCTCCAAGGGCATCCACCGGCAGTTCCCCCCGCTGTATTGGCAGCACAGGTCGCTGTTATTACTGCCGTCACCAAGGCGAGGCTATTGCAGGCGCTATCGGAGGACGCTGCTGCGCAGGCGCTGCACCAGCTGCAGAGCAAGTGCAGCCCCCTGGCCATATTCAATCAGGATGATGTCTTGCGCTCTCAACAAGTGTTCTTTCCAGGTAATGGGCCGGAGAAGGCACGCGTAGTCGACGCGGCAGCATGGGAAGCAGAGGCTGCTGCTGTAGCAGCAACTGGACAAGGCGGCACGCGCGCACAGCCGAGAATGACAGCGGCAGGCGCTGCTGTTGCCCCTGCTGCGGGAGAGGGTCGAACCGCACCTGGCTGGCTCGCCATCGCTGGGGTCGAGCAGCAACGAGGCGGGCAGCAACTTCCGCAGCTGCAGCAGCAACAAGAACGTGCTTTTCTGGAGCAGCGGCCGCTGCAACAACCGTCTCCTGCTGCACAGCCCCTATCCCGACAAGGAGGGATATCAGCAGCAACACGAGGGCTCACTGCAACAACAGCTGAAGCGATGAGAGTCATGGGGGTGGAAGGTTTACGATCTCCGTTGACTGCGCCTTCCTTTCCTCCCCCGTTACTTCCCCCCATGCTCCCCCATGTCCCTTTGCCTCACCCCCCTCCCCTTCAGCTCCTGCCCGCCACACCAGCAAGTAGTTCCTTCTTCCTCCAGTCTTTGCCTCAGATGGGCATACAGCAGATGCAATTGGGACCGTCACCGCAACAGCAACAGCTGCACATTGGACTGTGGAGTCATTTGCCTCAGCCGCACCTGCATGCAGGGGAAGTGTGGGGGCCTTTGCTGCCGCAGCAGGGACTAAATCATTTGTGGTACGTTGCGGGGTTCGACAGGGCCGATGAGGGTCCTTCACGCGCTTTCTTACAACCGTCAGGGGACATCGCACACGTTGCCTCTCTTCCGACTTCCGAGAGCAGTTACAGTGAAAGTATTGCTGAGAGGATGGGGTCGATTCAAGGCCGCACTTTCGCCACACCGGTAGTACCACCTGGACCGACAGAAACAGCATATTCCGAGGCGCATCAACCGCAGCAACAGCAGCAACAGCAACGGCCACAGGCTGCTTCTCGTTGGTTTCGAGGCACGGATTATACAGTGCCGTTAGCAACACAAGAAGAAGCAGCAAACCGAGGTGCGCAGCTGCTGCACCAGCACCAGCTGCAACAGTTGCAGCATGCTTCTGCTGATCTGTGGAGTTTGGGCGACATTGCGAGCAGCAACCGACAGGACATTCTTCGAGGGTCATTGGCTGAGCAGTCACCTCCAACACAGCACCATGCTTCAGGTGGAGATACACCTCAGACACCGGCACAAACTCCTGCAATTGACAGCCGCCCTACCGCAGACCCGAATAGTGGAGTCAAGTGAAAGTGGAGGCCACAGAAGGAGAAGTAGGACGGGCAAAACGGAAGTGGAACAAGAGAAGACGCAGCCTCAGCGGAGATTAAACAATTCACAAACGATTAGGTAGCAAGACGTGTAGTGGAATATATATATATATATATATATATATATATATATATATATATATATATATATATATATATATATATAGGAGTGGACAAGTTGCAACAACAAATGAAAAGGACGATACTCCAAAAGCAGCAAGAGCCTGGCGAGAACAGAGGCCAACACTAGGCCTACACACGATGGAGATCGTGACGATATCATGGAGAGGAGAAGTCAAGAGGCATACTCCATTTGCGTTGGAGAGGAGGGAATGCAGGCCTTGATTTGCCGGAAGCAGATGTATTGTGTTTCCTTGTTTGCTGTTTTTGTGTGCGCCGTTGTTTTTATTCCTTTTTGCCGTCTTCTCCTTTTTATTTCTCATTGTGGGGTTTTCGCCAAGCAGAAACTGCTGCAACAAAGGCGGAGAAAGGGGCAACCAGTATTGTGCCATCAGGGGCACACAGCTACAAACGTCGAAAGTTCTATTTTCGCTCACATTACTCCCTGTTCATTAAGAGCAGCTACAGCTGCTGCTGCAGTTGCTGAAGTACCTGCGAATTTAACTGCGTGAGCGTTACTGCAGCAGCAGCAGCATCAGCAAAACAGAAGGCAAGAAATCCACGTGCCGCACCAACAGTTACCTTTGACAGGATTACACTTTCTATTGTTGTATGGTATCATGGAAGCAGACCTCTCGATCAGTCGCCTGTCGATGGCCCACTAGATCCGCATGCCAGAGGTGTCTACAGAGCTCGGGAACTGGGTGCAGGAACAACATTTTGGTGCACTTACAGCTGTTGTTGGCAGAAGCAAGGTGGCAGCAAAAGCGAATTGAACAGGATGTTAGACACTGTTGATAGCTGTTTACTGGAGTAGGCAGATTCTTCCGGGTAGTAGAAGAAACAATGCGACAAATGAGTTCAACATTTTAGTCTAATGGCTCAACTGCGATCGTCCTGTTCGTACTTCCTTCCGTAGTTGGAGTGAAGTAGCTACAGTGAAGACAGAACGATTCAATCAGGCGTTCTCTGAATCCAGTTGGAGTTGCAGCCAATCCTAGGTTTACAGTCTTCTTCATACCAAACCAACATAACTGCTACCAACGGAGCAGTAGACTTCGCTCTTCTTGGCTGCCTTCTCACCTGGCTCGGGTGCACTTCTCTTATTGTGACGTCCTCCCGGCGCTAGCCATATCTGTTTGAAGCATCCGTAGTTAGCTAGCTCTCCCTTTATGCGTCAATTGCTATCTATGTTAAGCTAGACGGTTCGCAGCAGCTAGCTAGAAGTCTCTAGAAGTGCTACATCATATCCCGCTGAGTTCTTTCTTTCCTATCTGTCATCATATGCTGCGACCACTGCATCCCCTTCTTTGAAGAGGCCGAGTTGGAGAAGTTGTGAACGCCATAGCTGCCCCTTAGGGGCCCCCTGATGGGTTTGCTTGTTTCGTGCGGACCAGCTCCGATACTTTAAGATACGTCGAGAATGCTAATTCCTTCTCGGTGCAAGTAGGGGAAACCGCGGGGAAACGGGAGGCATTGCTTGCAATATACATGGTATAACTCTATAGAGTTTACATTCGTATTATTGCTTACAGTATACAGTTGTATTTTTATGTATACCGTGGTGGTGCCGTATACAGTACACTGTTCTACTCCTGTTTATAGCATCTGTTTATAGTATGCAGTTGTATTATTGCGTACAATATACAATTTTGTTGGTGTTCACAACAAGCAGTTTTATCATTCTTCATATTACGCAACATTTTACGCTGCTCACAGTGCATATTTGTATCATTTTCTACAATATACACTACAATATACAGCTGCACTACTGTCTAGAGCTTACAGTCGATTCCCTACAATATAGAGTTGTGTGGGTGTTTACAATATGCATTACACCACTATTTACAGCACACGGTTGTATTGCTGTTTGCAGTACCCAGTTGTGTTATTCTTTGCACTAAACAGTCCTTCATCGGCTCCTTTAGTGTATTAATAGAGGCGACCCAATGTAGATATGTCCGTCATCGACAAGGACACGATATTTGGGGAGCTGAAAAACGGTTGATGTTGTGTTTTAGGGACCATTGATACTGACTAAGGGAAGCGACGAGATACTTGTAGAGCATGAGAATGCTGTGAAGGACTTCATCGTTTTCCAGATGGAAAGGTGCATGGAAAGTTCAAGAGCTAGCGACCGTGTACTGCTTTACACCACAGCGGCGTTCGCATTTCTAAATGCGTGCGCGAAGGAATATACATCACGAAGCGGCTCCTCCAAAACCCTCAAAACCGTGCGGATCCATCTGTATGAGACGATTAGAAACAGAACTGTCTTCTGTAGATGGCTTGGTCGGCAACACCGGTACCCGGCATGCTACTGAGCCTGGTTGTAGCCTGCACCCTCGTCGCTGGTTGTTCCCGCTAATTTGTGCTGTGCGGTAATCAGCCAACGGGCTGCCGCCATGCTGGTTAGCGAGCAACGAATATACTATACATGTGTTACAACCATTAACGACAACTTCCATCCGGCGGAACTAATACAACTATCTCACTGTACTGGCGGACCACTGCAGTCTCCTCCCTCTGCATCCACAGCTCAAGAAGGAACAACTTCGCAGCTTTTTAGCAAGCTCAGAGAAATCAACTTGAATGGTTAATCATGAGTCCAGCCAAAAAACCACTTTGCATACTTAAAGTAATAACATTTTCTGATGTTCGAACACCATGGGCTGCACGTCCAAAAATGGACGGTAGGAAGCTGTCCCCAACAACAGATTTGTTGCATAGCCCGGTCCGGGAAGATAGATCACGGAATACCATGTGGCGTTACATGTTCGACTTATTTTAGAAATTATAGGATCTTCCGTGGGCGACTTCAGGTGTACAGATTTGTCTTTCGTTGCGCCTGTGTCCCTAGGGCTCGGTCCCTCTCTTGCTCTGGCTGCCCGAGGCGGCATGTGGGGCATTCGTCTCTCCTTTACATTCTTCCATTTCAGTCTTTGTATATTTATTGTAAATTGTATTATATTTATGTTTTGGTTTGATGTGAGCCGCTTAGGTGGGTTTTTTGGTACCGAAAAGGGCTCCAGACTTCCGCCGAACTTGTGGGCCATTGAGCATGGGAACCTGAATATGTGCATGCTGTTGCCTGTATAACAGTTTAGTTGCTCAATTTGATTTGAATTCTGTGGTTTTATTGCAGTTTTGCCACAGTCGTCTGTTCGTTGCTGCCGTTGTCTGATTGCTGCGGGAGGAGCAGCAGCAGATCGATCCCCTGCTGCCTGCAGTATAGCTCCGCCTTCTCCATCGAGTCCCTTTGCTTCTTTCGTTTTCTCTCTTTCTTTATTCCTACGTATGCTGCTGTAATCCTGACGCCTCCTGCGGCAAATCTCCCCTCCTTTTCCCTCGTAATCCTGCTTGTGTTGTAGTGTCTCTGAATACGCTGTTGAGTCCTTCCTTCGTCTCTTCGAACGTCTAGAAGCCTTTCTATTTGCGTTGTCTCTGACTGCTTCTTTCTCCCCTCTCTTCCGGGGCGTCCGCAAATAATGCTGTCCTTACGTTCGGGGGCCCTACCCCCCCTCCCTGCCCCGTCGCCCTCGTAACTCTCTCCCTTTCCCTCCACAACAGCAGCAGGAGCGCCGACCGCATCGGCACCGAAGAACCCGCAGCAGCAACAGCAGCAGGAACGCACCATCGCAGCAGCAGCAATCGGCACTGAAGCAGCTGCTGTGCATAGTCGTTCGGTGTTTGGCCCCCGTTTTTATTTGATTATTTTCTCCGCCTTCCTCTTCTCACCCCACAAACAGCATATGTAAAATGCGTTGGCCCCCAGTCGACTCGTTGGTGGGGCTGCGGGGGTTTGGGTTAGGCAAGCTGGCCTTGTGGCTGCTGCTGCTCCTCCTGGTGCAACAGAAACAGCCAATGGTTTTTGTTGAGGGTGTTGGAACATCTATAACTTCTGTAGCCGTTGGTGGAAGTCATCCGGGGACGCCCAATGCGGTGTCTGGGAACCTTGCCGGAGGCGCGACGGTGAACGGCGATGGCTGGGGTCCCAGTAACGAACTGGGGATCTCATTTCGCAGTTACCGCANGACGCAGGTGGTCTGTAAGCAGCACTTCTGCACTGACTGCTGTTGTTGCTGTTGCTGCTGCGTTGGGTGTTGTGTTCCTGCTGCTGTCCTGTGGAGTCGCCATCTCGCGCAACGCCAAGGCCACCCAAGTGTGGGGCAGCCGCCGGCGCCTTTCATCCAGAGAGGCTGAAGGACCTTGTGAACAAACTGCATCCGGAGGAGCAGAAACATCAGCAGGTGGTGAAGGTGCAGCAGCAGCAGCAGATGGAGAAGATGCAACAGCAGATGGAGAAGATGCAGCAGCGGCAGCAGATGGAGAAGGTGCAGCAGCAGCTGTTGGTGGAGAAGGTGCAGCAGCAGCAGCAAACGGAGAAGGTGCAGCAGGAGCAGCAGATGGAGAAGGTGGAATAGTAGCAGCAAAGGATGACACACGAGGCCAGGCGGTTCCCACGTCCCCAGCAGAATCTACTCTGGATCCAATGGCCGCTCCGTTCATTCCTAGAGGCGTCAGTTATGCAGCTGAAGGTGCTGACGAAGGGGACAGAGCAGCAGGTGGAGCGTCCGCTGCTTCTTCTTTGGAGGCGACTGCGTCCCCAGCGGCCAAAGGAGCCGCAGCAGCAGACGAAGCACCATCAGCTGCAGGGGCAGGAGGAGTGCATGGGAAGACAAAAGGGACGACGGGAGAGGTGATGTTGCCGCCGCCTGCGCTGTGGCCAGGGGGGGTGGGCAAGGCAATAGGGTCTTCCCCTTACTTGGGTTTCTACTTGACCCGCTATCGAGAGTTTGCGGATTATTGTCGGCAATACTTGAGCTTACTTTCTCCAAACTTTGCTTCGCTTATAGCAGAGCAGCTGTTGCGCCATGCTATAGCGGAGTTTGCTGCAATGACGCCTCTGTGCTCTCGGGAAGAGGACAGGCAACGGGTTAGTGCCATTAGGGCATTTTTCCGTCTGAGTCTGAGTGTTGGTGGCCGCCTCGACAGGCCTCCGCAGACAGACATGGACCGTATGGCGCTTGCTCTGCGCATGCTGCAGCAAAGAGATTCCATTGCTATCCCTTTTGTTACGATTCAAGCCAGGAGGCATGCAACTCAGACATTTCTTCCTCCGGCGTGCGCAGCGTTGCGGATAATGGCAACTGCTGTAAATACGCTCCTGCAGAGTCTCAGTGGCCACAACCCTCATGTTCCCCCCTCTCTCTACGCGAGAGAGTCCGCTATTATCGGTGCCGTCATTCATGAGAGGTTGCTGCAGGTGCTGAGGCACAACGGTGTCGTGCAAATGCTGCAACAACTGCAGAGCCAGTGCTGTCCCGGAGCCATCTTCTGCGAAGCCCATATTTCGGAATCTATGAGAAGATATAAAAGAACTGTTGGGCACCCGGACATCTACTTCATTGATCAAGCAGCAGAGAGAGCAGCGGCAAGATCCGCAGCACAGTGGAGGCAGATGCTTGCACAGCAGGAAACAGCAGCAACAGGAGCTGCTGGATGGGATCCGGAAGGCTTTTACGGAGGAGAGCTTGCTGCTGGTGATGGAACCGAGGGCTGGCTCCCCAGCACGGGTCCCCAGGGCCCACAAGGTGGACAGCAGTTGCAGCAGTGGGAGGTTTGGCAGCAGCAACATGGTGAATTGCAGCCGCAAGTGTGGGAGGTGTGGCAGCAGCAACTGCTGCTGCAGCAACCGGTTCCTGCAGTCTTTCCTGCAGAGGGAGCCTACTCGCTGCCAGTCGCTGCAGCCCCCGAGTCCCTACAAGAATGGGCCTCAGCAGCATCTGAAGGGCAAGATTTGGTTGCAACAGAAGAGCCAGAGGCAGCAGCACCTGAGGGCGGGGAGGAAGGGGGAATGGAGGACTCCTTGCGTTTTGACCTCAGTGCGCCTCCCTTGCCTACCTTCCCGTTTCCCCGTGACGCTCCGCCTCACTTGCCTCTTCCTCAGCTGCTGCCCTCCACAGCAACAACCTCTCCGTCTCCACCGTGGCATCCTTCTCAGGTGGGCCAGCAGCAGCAGCCAGCGGGGCCTCGGGGGCCGGTAGCGCAGCAGCTTCAGCAGCAAGAAAAACCGGGGGGGCCATTTCCTCCGCCGCAGCAGCAAGAGGAGCCTCAGGACACCTTTGCTCAGCCACAGCAGCAAGGTCAGGACCCTTGGGGGCAGTTACCCCAGCAGCAGCTGCACGGTGGGGTAGCTTGGGGGCCCTCTCTCCTGCAACTGGAGCGAGTAGGACCTTGGGGGGCCTCTCCGCATCCTCTGCAGCGCGACGACCCTTGGCGCTATCCCCCTCAGCAGCCGGATCATGATGATTCTTGGGGGGCCGCACTGCCGCAGCAAAAGCTTGAGCTGCAGGTGGAAGCTTCGGGTGCGCTGGAGGGGGAAGAAGGGGATTCTTTGCCCACCTTCTTAGAATCTTCTGGAGCCTCTGCGTACGTCGATGCTCTTTTGAGTCCAGATAGCAGCCCCGATGTGTCGAGTTTGCTCGTACAAGGGCCATATGGACGCGAGGGCAGCGAAGAAGGTGAAACTGTTGGTTTGTTTGGAGGCTCCGACTCCACCGCTTCTGTAGTATTATTAGCTCCAAGGGAAAGTGCAAGTCACGGTGCGCATCTGCAGCAGCAGCGGCAGCAGCAACAGCAACTGCCGCTGGGTGGCTCCGTTTTGTTTCGGGGCTCCGATTACACCAAGCCGCTAGCAGCAGAAGGGGAAGTAGAAGAACGCGGTGCACAGCTGGCGCCGCAACAGCAGCAACAGCAAGAGGCGTCCGCTGGTCTTGGTTCTTCCTGGAGTTTGACGGATATCGCGATCGGCAGCAGAGCTAGCATCCTTCGAGGGCCCCCGCATGTGCTTCTACCTTCAACAGACCGTCGTGCTTCAGGTCAAACCGCGCCGGTAGATCGCACAGGTGGGCGCCCCTATGCCGAAGCCCTGAAGGGTGAAGCCAAACGGGAACATAAGAGTCAATCGGAAGAAAAAAAAGGACAAGAATAATGCAACTCGACAGAAGGGAAAACAATTAGGGACACAGAGCAAAGGGAGAGGCGATGAAAGCTCCCGGGGAGTTGCAGCACATCCACAAACTAAAAGTCGTGAGAAAGCATGTCGACAATATATATATATATATATATATATATATATATATAT